CTGCTCTTTGTTGTTTCAACACGTTGCTGCTGTTCAGATAATGCCTATTTTTTTCTTCTCCCGGCATCATTGATTTTAGGGTAAACACTATTGGCCAGATTGGGGCCAATGTGCCAAATGGTTCTGGAGAAACTCATCGGTGTGCGGCTTGGGGGACTCCCATGGAGCTTTGGGCTCCCATGGTCACATCCTGGGCACGTAATGCCATTGCTCCAAAAAGCTTTCGCCGGTAGTGTGTATTATAGCTTGGAACACTTGCCCATAATGCATTGCGCTCATGTCCCAGATTGGCTCTTGGAATTGGATCGTGTCAACGATCGAAGAAAAGTGTGTCAATCACGCCCAACATTGGCATGACAGCCATGTGGGTCTGTCATTTTTTTAGGGGACCTCCCAAAATGGCGGTGTTGCTTTCGGCTTTCCTTTTCACCAAGGCTCCTCCAAAAACCATTTGCATGTGTTGCTTTGAGCAAGCTCTTAGCAAGTCCCATTTCAGGTCGCCCATAATTGGTGGTTTGGATTGGTGGTTTGGGGATTTGAACGCCTGGCTCTTGTAGAGGCTGGATGAAAAGCCGCCTAAAACCCGCCAATTCCCATGGATGCTGCCCATTTCCGGGTGCCACTTCCGTCGCTTTCAGGACGTGAGTATCATCGACCTCGAGGCAGGGCCATCGCTGCCGCAGAGCCGGGAGGTTCGTGGCACCAACCGGCGGTGGGCCAAAACCGTTTTGGGATTTCCCATGGGGTAGGTGAATTCACCGCCCATGTTGGAACCGATTTTAGTGTTTGGATTGGGGTATTTTTATTGGGGGCTTTGGTCGGGATTTTGACCTGTGGCCAGGCAAACAGCCCGAACAGCAAAGTCCGCTTTGGCGTCTTCCTTTCGATCTCCAAAGCGGGTGGGGTGCTTCTCAAACCTGGATGCTTCCAAGGAAACCTCCCAAATAGAAGGCACCACCCTTCATTCTTGGTTTAAATGGATTGGTGGTATTGTGGAGGGTTGCCCCACAACACGATTCCAAAGCAAGAGGGAAGCTGACAACGAGCCATCAGTTCCATTCGACTCAAAAGTTGCCCCTCACCTTTTCTTGTCTCCAGGGCAGAGCAAAGAGACAACGCACGCCTTTGTCATCTCTGACTTTGCCTTCCCAGTGAAAGCAGCCGGGGAAACAAGCCACACAGCACACCACACCCACCACCCCTTTTTCGGGTTTTTTCCCCGGGTCTTCCCCACGCTCCCCGCCCGGGCCTTCGTCTCGGCCGTCGTCTCTCGGCGCTCGCGCCTGTCATCGCCTCGAGGAGTGCGGGCGCCGGGACGTGGGGCTCTTCGCCCTGGTGGCCACCGGGGTCACCAGCCGCCACTGCCGCAGGTTGGGGCAGATCATGTTCCGCGCCACCGAGGCGCGATCGAGCGCGGGCGAGAAAGCCGGCGATCGATCCGGCGATCGATTTGAGAGGCGTTCCTTCTCTTCTTTTTTTTTGTGTCCGTGGCGGCGGTTCGGGTGTGGGTCAGAAAAGGATGCCGTTCTTGTTTTTTGTTTTTGGGGGGGGCGCTGGGTGCCGTTTTCGGCTAACCCTCTAGGCGAGTCAACATGGAAGCGACCGGAGCCCGAAATGCAAGACTTGGCGACCCATTTACGGGATCGGCCAATTGGGGGTTGTTGTTTGTGGCGTCGATTTGGGTGTGGGTCAAAAACAGGGTTTCCTCAAAACGGGTTGCCCTGAGAAATGGAACCAAGGACTAAATCTGTAGTTTTGTGTGGCTTAATTTTGACCCAGACCCATACCCATTTTGGCGAAACCGGCGGAGAGAAGGATTTCGCCCAACCTTGCACGCGGCAGGAGGGCGACTTTTGGGTTCGGTGCCTAGATGGTTTGGAGGCCTGTGCATGAAAGAACAAACCGCGGAAGGCATAGGTGTCCTTCTGAAGTTGTCCGAAGACGGCTCCGGGTAACCGTGACCAAGCTGATCCTTGACCCCCAGGCTGCGGTTTGGGGATCGCGAACTTGGGTAGGGCTTCTCATTGTCTGAGTTCCTGCAGTTTATACATTTTAGAAAGTGAGGCTTCAAAGGAACCCCGCAAATAGAAGGCACCACCTGGGATCCTAATTTTGGAGAAGCTCTTTGATCATGGCGAATCGGGCAAGGCATTGAAAACAGTAGTACGGCCACTTCGGTTGCAACCCAGAACGGTTCCACAGCCCCACTCGGGGGAGTTACCAGGCTCATGAACAGCTTGCCAATCATGGACAACGAAGCGGAAGGTAGAGATGTTGGGAGGTTGGTTTGTTGAGGTGGACGCTTTTGGTTTGCTTGGCAGCTAGAAACCGCGAGGCTTTGAGTGGTTTGAAGGCGTGAAGGCAAGGAGTTGTTGGCAAATTGTGGTTGCTATGGTCATACTTCCATCTCTGGAATTGAGTGACGTGCATTCACAGTATTCACTCCCTCGGTTGAGGTTGGGTCTGACTTTTTCCAGAGATGGGGCCTTGGGCCTCCAGGGCCTTCTTTACCCCGGAGAAATCGGGACTGGGCTGGAAACCCACCACAAAGAACATAGTCCCCGGAGAAACGCGGTCACTTTGTTGGCTCTGGCTACCCCATGTTTCAGGTCGGTCCATATTTGGAGGGAGGCCATTTTGCTAGGTTCCGGGGGCTTCTCTGAGCATTTTTCAAGCATCAACGGCACCTTTCCAACTCAGACGTAAGTGTCTAGATCTTGCGGCCATGGCGTGACACCGCGCCGTCGAAAAATCTCGCCCGCAGGCCTGCAAAGTGCCCTTCGTGGAGCCGTTTTGCTACGGCACTCGGGAGGAGACCGTCTTGGAGGGTCGGGGCCAGAAAAAGTTCTTTTGTTGGGTTCCTTTTGGTCTTCCTTTGGGTTTCTTTGGGTTGCGCTTTTGGAGAACGTGTTCTCGCGAAGTAAAGCGCACGTTGCTCAAATGATTCACATGAACATGACTTATTTGGCTCCTCAGACTTCACGTGCCACCCAGCTCCATTTTCTTTTTTAGGCAGTTATAGCGCGCGCCACGATTTCGTTGTTTCTTTTTGTGCGTGGGGGGGGTCGCAACCCTGTTTAGGAGCACAAATTGCCCAGCCCGGGGCGAATGGTTTCTTTCATTTTGTTTGTTCCGTTCTTTGTTCGCTGAATCCAACCTAAGCCTGGCTTTGAACCCGCCCTTACAAGTTCCAAGCCAACCCTAAACACACTCTAAACAACCCTAACCCCGTCCGAAGCCCACCTCACAACCTACCCTAAGCCAAACCAACCCCCACCCCAAGCCTGTCCTCCCCCAAAGCCGAACCTTAACCCATCTTAAACCGCCCTATACCAACCCAAGCACACCAAATTAAACCCTCAAAACCGACCCACCAAAAAATCCCAGCCAAAATCCATGGCCCAAATTGCAAATCGGAGGCATGAAAATTGCATCACCTAAACCAACCCGCAGAGCCATTCGGCTTTTGGGCAAGCCTTCAGCTTGCTGGTGATGCTGGAGGTGTTGCTGGCTATGTACACGGCATATCGGGGGAAAAAAGCAAACAACAACAACAGCTTTTTGGCCCAAGAAGAGCTCAAAACGAGCAAAAACAAGCCTCCATCCCGACCAAATAACGTCCGCACCCGTTTTGTTGGGAAGGGGACGCCACCCCGGAGCCCGTGTTTTTTTTTTTTTTGGTTCCCCCGGAAACTGGGCAAACCCAGCGGCGCCCGGGCGCCGCCGGGCGAAATCGGCGCGAGGACGAGTGGGTGGTGGCGCACTGCGGACCCATCAAGGTCCACCTCTTCACCCGGGAGACCCGGGACCAGTACCAGCTGGAGCTCCTGTACCCATGGATGCGATTTTGTGGTTTTTTGTCGTCCTCTTCTCCTTATTTTTTGAGGGGGGGATTCTTTTTTTTTGGTTTTGTTTTTGTTTTTGTGTTGTTGTTGTTGTTGTTGTTGTTGTTGTTGTTGTTGTTGTTGTTGTTGTTGTTGTTGTTGTTGTTGTTGTTGTTGTTGTTGTTGTTGTTGTTGTTGTTGTTGTTGTTGTTGTTGTTGTTGTTGTTGTTGTTGTTGTTGTTGTTGTTGTAGTTGTTGTTGTTGTTGTTGTTGTTGTTGTTGTTGTTGTTGTTGTTGTTGTTGTTGTTGTTGTTTTGTTGTTGTTGTTGTTGTTGTTGTTGTTGTTGTTGTTGTTGTTGTTGTTGTTGTTGTTGTTGTTGTTGTTGTTGTTGTTGTTGTTTTTTTTTTTTTTGGGGGGGGGGTGGGTGGGTTCTTCTTTGAATTTATGGGAGGGGGCGGGGGCGGGGGAGGGAGGATTGAGTCAGGTCGCCTTTTGGTGGTTTTGGCTGTTTTCCTTTTTCAGTCTTTTTTTCTGGGCGGGAGGATTGAGTCAGGTGAGCCACTTGCTCAAAACCCGGGTAGATGAAGGTTAGGGCTAATCCCCTTGCCATTTATTTGTGTGCCTTCGCCGGTAAGCCATCTCGATACCAGGTTTTGATGGTGACTCAGGTGTCATTCTTTGGTGGTTTGGAGGCTAGGGGTTTCCTTTAAGGGTTTCCTTTTTGGCGATGTTCATCAAGTGGTTTGGATTTGGATTTCACCCCCCACAAAATCCAAAGCACCACTGAGGCCGAGAAAGTGCCGGTTCTTCTCGGCTTTTTGGGCCGATCCAAGGGCGGGAATGGGAATGGGGAAACGGGCTCCCGAGGTCGGGGCAAAGGTTGGCTGAAGGTTTCCGCAGTGCAGAATCCTTGGGAGATGCCTTGCGTGTGGCCCTTTTTGAGGGAGTGTTCAACACTCTCCATGGTTTGTTGATTGGTCCTCAGAAGAAAAGAAATGTAATAAAAAAATCCGAATCCGGGTTTGAGAGACTTAGCCGCCTTGGAGTGACTGGACGGGCCTTTCATTTCTGGGTCCTTTGGTTGCAAGTGAGGAGATTATGATTGAGGGCGGGTGGTTTGACAGTTCCACCCTTGAAATGTCAAAATGTGTCCATTTGCAAATGGAGGGTTTCTCTTATTGGGGCCCCTGATTCAGGTGCTGTGTGACTTCCTACTCTGGGATCTCTCTTGAAATTAGTTTACGGAGGGTAGCGAAATATGGACCGAGTCAAACATATGGGTCTGCCTGTCTTTGAGGGTACCCTCTTTAGTCTGCTTTTAAACAGAAACCGAAAGGAACGCCGTTGCGCCAATTTGGGGTCCTAAGCATGTTGGGGTCCAAATCCCTTTGAGAGAGCCCCCTCTTCTCATTTTGGGTTGGGCGCGTTTTTAGCCTTGGACCTGTGGGTGCCAAGTTGTTGAAGATTTACATTTATCTCCCAGCCAAGGAAACGTCCTTTCTTTGCATATGGGCCCATTACTCTGGGGTACCTTCCCCATTCTTTCCAGGGATCCGGATCTTTCTAGAAAACCTCCGGAAACCCAGGCAAAACGGATCCGGTTGTTGGAAAGAACGATGGTTGATGGTTGAGAAGAATGGAAAAGGAGTCAACCCCTAGAATTACCGAGGAAGCCCGTCTATTTGTCCAAACGGTCACCTACGATCCTTTACCTTCGCGGTATGCCGTGATCGTCCTGGATCTGAAAGGGGAACATCGTATCAGTCACGTCGGTTCCGTGTTCGACCAATGCATGACCGAAAAGGATTCTTGTTGGTTTCTGACAAAAGGCCACATGAATGGGAACCCCCATAAAATGGTGTTGGTGTTACACCCCAAAACAAGTTTGATTTTCCAAGGGACACTGACGTTGCACAGGGAAGGGACCCCCCGAAAGAAAAAAACAAGAAAAGAAGAAGAAGCACAACAAGTCCAGAGGAGATGGGTGTTTTTGTTTGTTAGAGACCTTTAGGGCATCAGAATTCGGTGGGGCTTCATGTCCACTTGTGAGGTGGTCCGACTGAAATTCCCGGCCATGTGGGCATGTCTCAGAATGGTGGACGCTTGTTGGTGTTTTGACTGTCTCAGCGGCTGATCGGTGATCAAAGTCAGAGAAGGGGTTTTCCCTTTCACCCGCCACCGAACGCGGGGGACCTGGATGGCAACATACTTCTAGGGGTACCTTCCATTTCTATTCTAAACCCAGGGATCCGGATCTTTCTAGACAACCTCCGGAGACCCAGGGCGAACGGATCCGGTTTTTGGAAAGAACGATGGTTGAGCAGAATGGAAAAGGAATCAACTCCTAGAAGTGCCAGTTTAACGGCTTAAAGGGAAGCCACGACATACTGCCAGTTGAACGGCTTAACATGGTTGTTGGGAAACATTTTACATTTTTGCTTATTGTGGTTTAGTGGTGGAAATCCAACCACTCAACTCCAAAAATCTAATGTTTTTTGCTCCCCTTCCAGCGTCAAGCAAGTTAAAGGGCAGCCACGAAGACCAAAAGGTATCCCCACCCCCTTAAATATGGAATTGGGGTATGGGGGTGACCCCTGAAATTCCATTTATGGTTCCATTTCCTTTGTAGTTCACCCCCCTTCCCCTTATGGTAGGGGGCTCAAAAGAGTGGCGATGGCTAGCGCAGCGCCGTCGCGAGGTACCGCAGCCCGGAGGACTTCTTTCAGGTACCGATCGCTTCGGATCGCTTCGATCGCTTCGGTCGGGGGTTCGATCTGAGGAAAAAGAAAACGATCCGGGAGACATGCTGATGGATAAACACCTGTTTAGCTGGCTAGGTTCCGGCAGATTGAGGGTAGCACCCGGGGTTTTGTTGGGTGGAAATCCGCAAAAAACAACTTGGTGGCCCCCAGCCGTCCTGCTAGCCTTTTAGTTGCTTTTAGCTGGTTTAGTGGTTGGATTTCCGAATCTAAGCCACCAAAAGTTCTGCACTTTTAGCAGAGATCTGAGGGCCCAGTGATGGAGAAACACCTGCAAGGTTCCAGAGGGAAGATTCTGGGAGGCATGTGGATGGACAACATCCAGCTTGGTGATGTTCCATCCGTACTCATCGGGTTCCATCCGAGTTCGTCCATTCACATGGTGACTCTCTGCTTGCTCAGGGCTTTTGTCAGGTTAAGACCGGCTTGGTGGCAACCAAGAACCCGGCACTTGTGTTGATCCACTCAGGAAGTGAGCTCATAATTTCGCGAACTCTAAACCAGAAGCTAATAAAGCAATGCTAGAATAAACATAAGTGGCAATTAAAAAGACTTTGCACCAAGGGCGGATGCATGCAAACAAGGAGCCTCGTTGAAAGGTTTTGGCCACCCGCTCCACGGTGCTATGGATAGGAGAACCCATGGGGCCCTTCTGACAGAAGAAACAAAAACCAAAGGAATAGGGGACCCCCAAAAATGGGCTGGGCTTCCCATCGATCTCCCTTTAGAACCAACCTACAAGGGGCTCGTTCCCCTAGAAAAAGACGCATCCACTTCCCTGAGTCCAAACTCAATTTCAGCCACGTGGTTTGGTGTCCAGCTGAAACTTTCGGACCCGCAAAAATGGCTCGTCGGTTTTCCTGGTAGCCCAGCGAAAACGCAAGGCACCCACCCACCTCTCGCTCATTTCGGCCATGTTCTTTGGTTTCCAAAACATGGGCCTGAAAAAATGGCTCGGTTGTCCGGTTTTTGTCCAAAACTTTGTGGCTCCCAGCCATCCCCTTGGCCTTTTCGCCTTTTATTGTTTAGTGGTAGTTCCATTTAACCCACTAGAAGTTCGTCCCTTTTAGCGGGGGATCTGAAAACGGGCAGCCCAGCAACATGGGCCTGAAAAAATGGCGCGGGTTTTTCGTGGGTTTTTCCCCAAAAGAATACCCCAGGAACGCGCCGGAGGGGCATGCGGCCCCGTTTGGCTTTTGACAGGTGGGAGACTTCCCCCACTACGTGGAGATCTACGGCTCCGCGGTGGAGGCTTTTGGGTCGGAGACGTCTGCTTGCGGGGGTGCGAGAAGTAGGGAATGAGGGAATGAACCGTTTGGGGACTCCCTTAACTCACTTCCTGAGTTCATGAACTTTAAACTTTTTGGGAAGACCACTTTAATTAGTGGTCAATTTAAAGATTGGACTTTTTGTCGGGCCATCCACTCAGCCAGTGAGTTAAAGGAATATGTTTTTTTTGCCAGCAAGTTTTCCGATTTCAACGGGGGCATGCCCCCCAACCACTTGGACGCATAGGTGGCCTTTTAATCAGTGAGTTTGGTTGACCATAGGTGGCACGGGTTGGTTCTACTCATTTACCAGTGCCATCTATTCACAATGCTTGGATGTTTTTTTGGTTTCTGAGAGAGGGCCAAAGGTCTTCGTATTTTATGCTCATACTTGTGGGAGCCCGAACCAAAAACCAAATCAACACTCGGAGCATTGGTTTCTTGGGTTTCCTGCAGGGCCTTTCTCGCACGGGGTGTGGCAGTGGGCTTGCCGAGGAGCCCGGAAGAAGAAGCTAACCCTGAATCGGTGGTTTGGCTCGGTTCGGAATGGATCTTGTGGAGGGTAAAAGGAAACCACTCCCTAACCACCCACCAGGCTCCAAAGGTTTGACTCACTGGCTCACTTCCGCGAGTTGCGGAAAACACGCCGGTTCGGGGTTCCTTTTTTCTTCCCCAGAATTACTTCCCCTTTCTAATGTGTTGCTTTCTTGGGGTTCCCTTTGTTTTCCACTAACCAGGCAAACACAAAGTTTTTGCTGGGGTCCCAGTTCCAGCCAAGACTTTTGCGGCCTAAACCAAGCCACCAGGCGCCACCAGGCGCCAGGCGCCAGTGTCACGAACCCGAGCCGTCGAGGTCCAGCTTCTTTGGGCTCGGATCGCTCGTTGCGAAACTGGGGACGTGTCTTTTCTAAGGTTGGACCTCCAAAATGGATGTGTTGGTTGTCCTCTTTCAATCCCTCAAAGCCAATCCAAGCAAGGGGGTAATTGCCTGTCCAACCAACCATTTGACAAGGGGCGCTGCCTTCTCGTTTTTTTTTTTGGCTTTCCTTCAATGTCAGTCCAGTTACACGGGGCCCGCCCAGCCGTTGACGCCGCCGGGGCCCGCAGGCCATGCTCAACGGGGGCTCCCACATCACCACCTCCCTGGGCTCCAGAAGTCAGACCCAGCGCCGCGGATGCCGCGAACGGAGGGCGGAGGTGTCGGAGGTGTCGGAGGTTGCAGGTGGCATGTGGGGCCCAAAGACAACTCACTTGTTGAGTTCATGGCACTTTAGATCACTTTTTGGCTTTAAAACAAACTTTAGAGCCTCCGGCTCAGTCCGCCATTGTCCTCTCCCTTTTCTCTTGCTTTCTCTCTTTCTTCTCTCTCTCTCTCTCTCTGTCTCTCTCTCTCCCTCTCTCTCTCTCTCTCTCCCTCTTTTTTTCTCTGTCTCTCTCTTTGCTTCTCTGTCTCTTTCTGTCTCACTCTCTCCTTCCTCTCTATGCCTGTCTCTCTCTCTCTCTCTCTCTCTTTTTTTCTCTCTCTTTGTTTTTTGCTTTTTGTTTTTTTCTTTTTCTCTCTCTCGCTCTCTCTCTCTCTCTCTCTCTCTCTCTCTCTCTCCCTCCTCTCTATGTCTCTATCTTTGTCTACCTCCTCGCCATGCCTCATTCTCCCCGCCTCGTGCCTTTGCGCCCCCCCCCCCCGGTCGCTGCCTCTCTCTCTTTCCTCTCTTTCCTCTCTTTCCTCTCTTTCCTCTCTTTCCTCTCTTTCCTCTCTTTCCTCTCTTTCCTCTCTTTCCTCTCTTTCCTCTCTTTCCTCTCTTTCCTCTCTCTTTCCTCTCTCTTTTCTCTCTTTCCTCTCTTTCCTCTCTCTTTCCTCTCTCTTTTCTCTCTTTCCTCTCTTTCCTCTCTTTCCTCTCTCTTTCCTCTCTGTCGCTGTTTCTTTTTTCTCTCTCTCTCTCTCTCTCTCTGTCTCTCTCGGTCTCTCTCTGTCTCTCTCTTTCTCTCTCTCTCTCTCTCTCTCTGTCTCTCTTTGTCTGCATTGCAGCGTCATGTCCCCCGGGAGTTGCCTCGATTTCTGTGCACAGCCCTTTATGACCCTAGAATTGTCTTCGCACTACTGGCTTTCCCCTTGATTTCCCCTTCATGTCCTTTTCATGTCTCGTAATTTTTCGAGGATGTCCTCGTCATGTTCCTTGCCATTCCTTTCAATTCCCCCTTCATGTCCCTGTCATTTTCTCGGTATGTCCGCTTCATTTTCCATGTATGTCCCTTTCTTTCATTGCCAGTCATTTCCCTACATCTCCCTTCGTGTCCTTTGGTTTCCTTGTCCTTTGTTTGCCTTGCAGTCCCCCTCACTCCCCCCTGTTTTCATTTCTTTCCCCTTCATGTCCTTTTCAGTTCCCCTTCGTTTCCCTTTCATTTCCCTTCCTTGCATTTTCCCTTCGCTCCCCGGTATTTTTTCCGACAAAAACACGGCTTTTTCCAACGTTTTCACAAAAAGGATGTCAAAAACACAGTGTTTCCAGATTTTCGGCAAAAGGATACAGAAAACCCGAACCAGCAAAGAGCCGGCAGGGGGATTCGAGCCTGGGACCCCTGTTTTGCAACACTGGCTCTCCGAAGACTATTTTTAGTGGAGCCCCCCCGGGTGGCAGGGAAGATTACGTACAATGTGCCGCCGCGCGCCTACAATGTGCCGCCTGTCCGTGAGACGTCACTTAAGCAATCATATTTGGGGTTCTGTTCTCGACCTGACCCGTCCGCTGGGTATGCAGGCTAGGGTCAGGTTGCCGGGAACCCACCTCCCGGTTTTCCCCACGCTGGGGAAGCCGTGGATTTTGCAGCCACCAGCCATGGCTATCGAGGACTACCTTTGCCCCATGTGAGACTGGCACATGTGCAGCCTGCGCACGTGCCTCTGCATCGCTTGCATCTTTCTGCGCAGGGCTGCCCTGCTCAATGGATCGGAAAGCAAACCCGAATCAATACCAACAGAGGAAAGCACACTGTCAACCTCGTCCTCTTGCGAAGTAATGCATACAAACAATAGTATCGTCCACTGCGCTCCGAGAGGTTAGCTGCCATGACCACTGATGCAGTGTCGTTGGCCGCAGGCTGGAGCACGGTCCTGTGCTTTGCACGGAGTGGTTACTCAGCTCGCTCTCCAACCGCACTGCGCCCTAAATGGAACTGGTGGGAAGCGGACCGGTTCCATGTCAGCTGGGGCACCACTCAGGACGACGCATGGTGGCACTCAGACAGCTGGCGCACTCAGGATTGGTGGGGCAGCTCCACCCAGCCACCAGATGCTGCAGCTCAGCAACCGCCAACAGTCCTGAGGCACGTAGGCTATCGTCAGGTGGACGGCATGATCCTGTGCGATCTTCCGAGTCCCAAGTGCGCAGATGGCTCACGCACTTGCGCCGCATTTGTGGCCCGCTCGAGTTTGTCAAGCACAGGGGCCATGAGTGCTACAGCTGCTACCGCTCAGGCTGATCAGCAATCAGCCCTCGGTTGATCCGTATTTTACACAGCGGGGTCGGTCAGTCCTTTTGCTCTTATCATTGTTCAGTGTTCTGTGTTGTTTTCCAAATGTCCCGGAACCTCGCCGGGTCGCTCTTCGGAAGCTCAGACACACGGCCTGGCCAGCGCGCCTTCGCAACAACATCTGCTCAGACGGTCCCAGACGACAGGTGCAGGGAACACAGGTGTCACATCGTTGCTTTGAGCCGCGTTTTTAGCTGACTTCCTGGTCCCGTCACCTGTCCGCCCTTTCTTGGGGGTTGCTTCGGGTTCCCTAACCCCAATAGGGCTTTTTCTGACTCGACCCGCCAGATCCCTCCCTAGCAACTCAGTCCAGATACTGCAATGCAGCTCAGGCAGCTGCACGCATTGCTGTGCATCTTGCCTGGCACGCTTGCCAGGCTGGCCACCTTTTTCGTCGCTCCCACAACTTTTATTTTTTTCTGATGAGCCGCGCTCCTCAGGTCACCCACGCTCTGCAATGTGCAGGGTGACACAGGCTCGTCCGCTGATCAGTCTTATTTCAAATATTGGCCCTGGCCAGGCTTTGCTTGCCCACACATGCCATTCTGGGTCCTCCAGGTTTCCTCTGAGAGCTTGCTAGCTGCATCTTGCAGGCCTGTCTTTTCTTGTTTTGACCCTTTCTCGGCCTCGGCCCTCCCTCCCTCCTTTTCGTTTCGGGGATTCGTCTCGCGCTAGGTGCTCCGTCCTGCTGAGGCTCACGGCTATTCGTTAGGACCTCGGTTTGCAACTTGCGTGTTTTTGCCACCGCCTGTCAGGTTTGTCTGGTTCAGCAAACTTTATTCCTTCAAACAGGTAGCTCAGTCATGGGAAAACATGACAAGACTCTCACGGCCTCTGGCCGCCCTGCTCACGCAACGGGCGGGGACAAATCTGGTTAGGCATGACCAGCTGGAAGTCTGCAAGGCGCATCACAAACACCTGCCTTCACTTCGGTGCTCTGCCCATCTTGTGTTGTCGTGCTCACCCGCAGGGGCGCTTCGGCACTTACAATTTTTACAAATTATCCCTAGATCATGGCCGCTAGCACGTCAGCCATTTCGGAGGTGAGCTACTCCAAGCATCTGATCACCTCGGGGGCGAGGGGAACATGCTCAAGAACAAGATGGATCAGCTGACAGCGGCTCAGGCGCTGCTGACCGTAGAGACCAGCGAGGCCGAAAACCGCCCCGCAGTGGCGCTCTTGACCTGCGCAGGGCCGCACCGTGCTGGCAGATGGCGTCGGGCCTGCTGGGACCAGGCTTCGCGTGGGTCTTGGCAGATTTGGAAGCGCATGGGCTGGCCTTTGCCCTCCTGAACACCTTTTTGGAAAACGGAGCAAGGAAGCCTTCATGCGGCTGTCACGGATTTCGTCCAGTGCTCTGAAAGAGAAGTTCGTCTCCCCGGCACATTATACATACTCTTCCATCTTACCCCTCCCCCCCGCCTCCTCCGGGGAAAGGGGGGGCGTTATCCTGTATACTCTCTGCTATCCGACACTCCTCCACAACATCGGCGGATTTTAGGGAGTTCCTGCAACTTTTGCCACTTTTAGTTTTCAATCACATTAAAGCTCCAGGATTTTTTTGGGCCACCCCAGTCGATCGGAAGCGAGGACAAATGCGCATGTTGCGCTAGGTTTGGTTCAAGCCAAGGCCTTTAAGAAACCCAAAGGTTGGAAACCAACAAAAAGTCCGAGCCATTTGGAGTGTTTGGTCAGTTTGGGGCCAGAAATAGATGGGTTTCACTGGTTTCGTTTTTTTGCCCATTTACCAGGGAAACCCATCTGTCTTACCAGAAGGCCACCTATGCCAAGGGGAAGCCAAAGCGGGGGTTGTTTAAACGGTGGCAGTGCGGTGACTGTTTTGTGTGTGTTTTGTTTTATAGATGTGAGAAGTGCTGGTCGCTGACAAATTGCGAGCAGTGGGACCATGTTCAATAGCCGAAGCTTGAGCATCTGCTTCTGTCGAGGGAAATCTTGGTTTGACTGCTGCTGGGTTGGATCTTTGGACTTAAACTTTTTGGGAAATCATGGGGCTTTCCACTAAACCCCCCAAACAGTCCAACTTTTTTTGCAGAGGGGTCAACAGCAACCAAGTTTCCATATTGGTCAGTTTCCCTGATCAAATTTTGGAGGCAAAGAGCATGCGCAGCAGGGGTGTTCCCATGTTCTTTCGCGGCACGAAGTTTTGACCATCAGCAACCAGCAAGCGTTCTCCTCTCTCCCCAAAAGCCGTGGACAAATAATGATAATAAAACACGCGCCATGGCTCTGGAGTTTTTTGTCAGCTCAGGCAGCAATTTTCAACACCCAGTCAAGCTCTGTTGCATGTCTATGCAGTTCAACATATGGCGCACCGCAGTCCAACGCTTTTTAGCTGAGCAGAGCTCCCCACCTGAAAGGATGTGTCAAGAAACCAGTAGGAACATCTTGGGGGTCGACATGTGGGGGTCGATCAATATTCCGTTCAGCCCCAAAATGATCATGGGCAACTCTTCCCATGTGGAACATATCTCATTTTTGAAAAGGATTTCCAACCACTGGTCACCCCATGAGGACCTTTTGATCGATTATCAATATGACGAAACCGTCTCCTTACCCTATTGTTGTGCAACGCTGACCCCCACGACGAAAGAAAGGAGGTATGTGTGATTGGAAAGCCAGTTTGGTCAAAACATACCCTCCAAAAGAGCGCAGCGGTATAGATGCTGCGGCAACTTGAGGCATGGTCTCAGTTGGATGGCGTACATGCTCGCGTTTTCGGATGTCGTGCCGGCTACTGAGGGCTTCCCAACTGCCCTACAGGTTGTTTTCAGTGCTATTCTATCATGTCCTTACAGAACTTCTGTTAGCTCCTTAGCTCCCTCCTAGCAAATTTGGATACCCCCAGCTCCTTGGCTCTCCGCCAGCTGTTCTTTGGAGTGGCTGCGTCGGCGTTTCCTTTCGCATGTCGCCCTTCACCCCTTGACTCCCTCAACCCAATCCCCGCTTATTGCACCACTTGTTTTTTTGTTGTCTCACACCCTCCGAAAGAACAGGTACTTTTTCCATTGGACTTTTTTTGTCTAACCATACCCTCCAAAAGAACGGGTATTTGGAGTGGCCGAGTTCCTTTTCCGTATGTCCTCAGGATCGCAGCGCCCTACCGCGACACCCTGCACACCTCGCTGACGCAGACAGACTACGCGGGCGCGGAAGAGGCCCACTTCACGGCCGCCAAAACCGCCCCCATCGACGTGGGCGAGGTGCACCCAGAGGCGGGGATCGGAAGTCGTTGAGCCCGGAAACGCAAGACCCCCCCTCAAAAAAAAGACACCCTAGGTCCCCCAGCAATTGGTGCCCTTTCTCTCCCTTTTTTTTTGGGTTGGGAGGGTTCCAACCTACTAAAGTAGACTAGAAACAAGTTGGTACCCTTATTCTAACCTCTCTACTGGAGGACCTAGCTAGGTGTGCATTTTTGGGTGAGCCTCTTCGAAAATAGGTGACGCTGGTTTCCCTTTCTTTGGCAATCATTTACCAATGCCACCTATTTGTCCAAAACGGCGGTCGTGCACATGTCGCGTGGGATGCACCCCAAGAGGCTCAGACGGAGCATCTCAAGGCTTGCCGCTCAACCTGGGCTTGGCCTTTGCAGAACTGGTCCGATTCCTATGAGACAAACCCATGTGAGCTGACGCATTCTCAATGCGTCACTAGGGTGACTCGGCGAGCCGACGCGTTCGACCTGAAAACTCTCAGGCCGCGTGGCCCAATTCCTGGCCGGAGTTGGCGCCGGGCGAACCGGAGGAAGACACCGACAGCGACGAGGAGCCGCTCGAGCCTTTCGCTCGAGCCGAGCCAGAAAAGAAGGCGAAGGAAGCGCCGGCGATGCGATCTAGGTGGGGTCTAGGGATACATAAAGGGGTAGATCAAGGGGGATATGAAGGGGTGTGCAGGTATATAAGAGTATGTAAATTGATATATATATATATATATACATATACATATAGATTTATATATATATAATAAAGGGGTATATCAAGGGGGATATGAAGGGGTATGTAGCGTGTATATAACGGTATGTAAATTATACATACCCCGGTTGCGCGGTTGTGTTTGTTGGGCAGGGCCGGCGGTGTGGGTGTCCGTTTTCGAGGTTGGTCAGTTTGGGTGATTGGTGGATTTCACTGGTTTGAGCTCCCATCTATAGTTCATGTTTGACACACATTAAACCTACCAACCAAAAACTCAGCTCTCCTTTCCCTTCTGCCGCAAGCTCTAAAGTCGATCCCAGATCTCTGTTCAGCTGCCTAGGTTCCGGCAGATTGAGGGTACCACCTGGGCCTTTGTTGGGTGGGCACAACCCGCAAACAATAAGTGCCACTGGTTGCTCGGATTTGCCTTCAGGCATGCCTTCGCGCGTTTGTTTTCGTGAGTTTGCTTTCGATGGGGAGCACTCTCGTGTGAGCGTTTTCCGCACATTTCTACTGGTTGACCCGTTCTTTTCATCCGTGCTTTGCAACCGCCGTCGTTTCCCCCAGGCTTTGTGTGGAAGGATTCCCTGGTGTTTTTCGACAGGTTTCCTACCCACCTTCCGGATGGGGAAGCCTTTGACGGAAGCAAGTTGGCCGAACGCTTGACATGTTGCAGCCATTTGAAAGTTCTGAGCCCACGCCGCGCGTTCCTCACATGTGACCTGCTCTCTTTACTCGAGTGTAGCCTGGGTGTGCAATCCCTGACCAACACGCACGGATGACACAAAAATACAGAAGCAAGAAGCCACCACAATCCAAAGGGTGTATATTTTCGCAATCCAAAGACTCACCATTACAAGCAAGAAGCTGCACCAAAGGATCAAAAGACCAACATCCCACCCTGTCGTTGACCGCGACCACGCAGCGCGTTGACCGAGGGCGCTAGACAACCCGCCCTTGACCCGACCGCCGTCTTTGAGCCATGTGGGCCTGGCCTGTGCTCCTGCCATTGGCAGCTCGGAGTTGGACGTGGCCTGGGAGATGCGACGAAACCTGGGGCCATTCCTTGGATTGTTTTTGGCTTGCGTCCATTTGCTGTTCTGTTTTTAAAGCAATAAACAATGATTTTCCCTGGTTGGTTTTCAAGGGAGTCGATTTCAGTCCGGACATTTGTTTTCTCATTTTGGTTGGGTTGAGGGGGGCCCTTGACACACTCCCTCAGACAAACAGACGGAAGCTGCCCCAATTGGCCCATGTAAATGAAACCAACTCTTCCGGAAGGCTTTGGGAGCTTCCATGGAATCACCTGGCGGAGTGATCACGCAGAGTCCAAAAGGTCAAAGGAATCGGACCTCGGACCACCAAAATGTGGGTTTCCTCTAATGTCTCTTTACCCAACCAAAAAGGGTGTCCAAAACCTGTATATCTTTCTATCTACGCAGCACATGTCTTTCCTGGAACAACTATTCACACACTTCGTTCTGCTGGAGGATCTAATCATTTGCTAGGGCAAATGTTTGTTTTGGGTTTGCTTTGATTCCATTTGCTTAAGGCCAATAATCTAGCTAGCACAGCTCACATGGAGTCTGGATCATTTATGGCAGGCTCACCGATGGGTGAAACGAGCTCACCATGGTAACAAATCCTTTTCTGGGGATCCCGTATTTCTGGTTTTGGACTTATTGTATGTTTTTTGCAGATGGTGTCATTCTCCAGCGCCCTAGGCTTGTGTTGCAGCGCCGGGCGCCCAGTGACCTGTGTCCCGTATCCGGCAAGTGACGAGTCCTCATGTGCTCACTTCCTGAGTTCATGAACTTTAAACTTTGTAGGAAGACAATTTTACCGCATGGTAAATATACAGTTTGGACGTTTTTTGGGCCATCCACTCAGCCAGTGAGTGTGGGTGCTTAACATAGGGCGACTCAACAGGGGTCACCTTCGGATCGAGCCCCCAAAGCAACAGTTGATCAATGTACCTTGGGTGGTTTCCATGGCGATCGGCACCTTTGGAGGTGCCAAAAGCAAAAAGCGGAACTCTCGAGGTGTCCCGTGAAATACCAACCAAAACGGGTGCCACCATCTGGGGGAAATAGAAATTCCAGTGTGAAGGAACACCAAAGCCAGGACTATGGAGTTTGACCACACATGTGTCCCGTTTGAATATGGCCTGTCCAAAAGGACACTCGATTCAAAACGGACCGAAAGAGGATGTTAAAATCAGCCCCAAGAGGGGAAATCTGAGGGGCCTTTCTACGACGGTGTAGGGTGTTGAACATTTTTGCTCACGTCGGATTAGCAAGCCTTCCGGGGAAGGAGGTGGTCTGCGAAAGAAGGCCGCTCTGAGGGATTGAGGCCACGTTTGGAAATTAGATTCAGTGCTGATTGGACTGGATCTTAAATCAACTGATGCTTTGTGAGGGACACTGGTTCTGCCCCTATTTCGAAATCATGCACATGGTCATTTGTATATTATATTTGTAGATGTATGTACATGGCTACAAACAAATAAGTGAGGATACATGTACATATATATATATATATACACATGTATATGTAAATGTGCATGACCATGGTACCCTCCCTGAAGGGTTGTGGGGGTTGGTTATATTTTATATATTGCTATAAATGACTATACACCATATATATATATATATACACACATGTAGATATTATAAATGTGTATGACCAGGGTACCCCCCCCCAAGGTTGGGTTGGTCAAGGGTTGCCTGGCCTAGGCCGTCCTCGTTTTCGGCCGCCGCGGCGCTGGCGGCCCTGGAGGATGCGACGAGGACGGGGCGTTTCGGAGCTCGCCGAAACCGGGCGTTCCAAACCGTTTTGGATTGGCTTTACGGGAAAACCAACAGGACACCGCCTTCTTCTTTCTTCTTCTTCTTCTTCTTCTTCTTTTCTTGGGGGGGGAGTCCCCCCAACGAAAGAGATGCAAGCAGTTCTTGGGCTGCCTGATTTTGCTTGGCGGTTAGCGCATCGTCCGGTTCCCCGGAGGTTCTTAGTTTTGTTAGATGGTTTAGTGGTTAGGTTTCCATTCAACCACTTGTCCAAAGCGAATCGACCTTGGACCTTTTGGTTTTCATATTTGCTCTACTTTGGCTCGCAGACTAACCTTTTTCCTTGCTGGTGCTCAGTAGGGAATGACCCGCAGCTTTGGGAATGAACCGCTTCCCTTACAGGAAACCATAGTGGATGTCTTGTAGGGGTCATTCCATTTCTCATTCCCTGCTGAGAGCCAGCAAACTTATTTCCAGGTCCTTTGGGCAAGTAGCCTTCCATTTCATTGGTTCCACCAAAGCGTTCTGCGTGAATTTCGCCAATCATCCCGTTTGCGATAGCCGTTTTTGGTGGGAATAGTGCCATCTACAATCACCCAACTGCTCTCTCACTGAGTTCCCGGACTTTGGTGACCTTTTGGGAAGACCATTGTAGTGACAAACAACAAGTTTGGATTTTTTTTGGTCTGGAAGTGAGTTAAAGACTACCCCATGGAACCTGTTTGCACAGTGGGTCCGCAATTTCTTTCGTGAAATGGCTCCACTCGAGGTAACCCCAGACCTCCGGTTTTCTGTTTTCCGTCCGGGGAAATCCCAAGCTCGACCCAAAGGCGTCCCTTTTCCGGGTCGGCGACCCTGCCTACTTTCTGGTGATATGTGTGTGGTTCTTTTTTGAGCCTCAGTACCTTTTATTTGTGGTTTTGATTGGGGAAACCAAAAGGAACACCTCATTCTTGCGTGGCTCCCTCAAAAAGACACACCCATATCTACCCATTGCAAGAGTTCCCTATGAGTGCTTCTCCGGCCAAGGCAGCTTCCACAGGCCCGTGTACTCAGAATAAACCCTTCTCGCTGGAGACTGTTTTGTTTAAAAAGAGTCCTCAAGCGGCAACACATGAGCCACTTGCTCAGAACCGATTCGGGCAGAAGCTTAGTAAGGGGCAGTCCCAGCCAGAAATAGGTGCGGAAAATTCCGCCTTCTTGATTCTTTACATGGTTTTGGGTAAACCATTTTAATGCCGGGGTTTGGTTGTGACTCACATGTTGCCCCGTCTTTTGTGGGCGGCACTTTTCCTTTGCGCTCTCGTTGCGGGTTGGGCAGTTGATGTCTGTGCTTGAACACGACCGAGCTCTTTTGAAAAGAGATGTGGGTCTTGTTCATCGCCCGTTTTTTTTTTTGGTGTTTACAGGGAAGCCTCATTTTGGGTTGGTGAGTTGTTGCTTGCTACTCTCCTGCACATTCACCTGGGAAAAATCCCACAGAAAAGATGACCATGCCGAGTTTCTGGACTTCATGCGCAACACACGCACATTCCGGTTGGTGAATACAACGTTACCTGAGTTCATGGACTTTAGCCACTTTCAGTCTAGCCACGCAGATTTAGGTGAAACTTGAGTTCACGGGCTTTCGGTACCATCGGGGTCACCAAACAGTTCCAACAAGTTCTTCATGGACTTTAGTTGCCACTCTTTTTTCCAAAATCAGTTTTCTTTGGGTCACCAAAAAGTTCTTTGACTTTGTCTGGCCACTCCACCCATGAGTTCCGTGAGTTCCGGGCCTTGGCAAGTGGACGGCTGCGAGGCTCGAGCAGCAGATCGCGGGCGACGAGCTCCTCCGCATCACCGCGGGCGCCGCTCGAAAAGCAAAGCTTGGCCAGCAGGTCGGACGGCTGCGGGCGCCACGAAAATGACGGGGGGACGGGTCGAAAATAGGTACCCATGGAACCCTTGTAAATGGAATCAAGGACTGAAACTTGCGGTCTCCTGGTGGTTTTTTTTTCCAAGTCCGTCCTATAGATTTTCCTTTCGCCGGACGTGTTTCGCTCTCCACGGCAGGAACTTCGGGCGAATCGCCCCTGTTTCATGGCGCGGCCAGGTCGATCGCCTCTTTTGGGTCCATACCAGAAGCTTTTTTTTCGAAAAACAACCGACCCATGTCACCTCTTGAGCCTTTTTTGTGGTCGGGGCTTGTCTCAAGGGAAGTGAGGGAAGGGATGCGGCATTCCCTCAACGGGCACCTGGGCTTGGTTTGACAAGGCCATCATACACATCTGACGCTTTCTTCTTGGAGCAGCAGCAGTCACAAGCGACAACTTCAAGCAAGCCTAAGCACAGCCTGGGCAGTTTTTCCAAGTTCCACGACATGGAACATCGTGCAAAGACACTGTGTTTTGGCTTCACAAGAACCACAGGGATGCTTTTGCTCTGTTTTGATAGGGGTTGTGGTCCACAACGGGTGTCTTTTTTGTATAGATCAGATCGATTGAGCTCAGCTCACGTGAGTTGCTGATGCGTTTTCTAGTTGAGGTTGGTCTCATCCTACGCTCAACATCATTTTTTTTTTTTTGCGAAAATAAGCATGAACCAAGTTGCACGCGGACAAGCAGATTCCCCCCCCCCCCCCATCCCCTGAAAAACAAATTAAAGAAAGCCAGAAAAGGGGTAGGGGATGTTTCAATCAAAGTACCTTCCTGTCCACGTTGCCATGGAACCTCGCAGGTCCTTCTCTTTTAAAGGAATCTGGTCTCTCAGGACCCCTGTGAGGTTCCATGGCAACGCTTTTTGTTTCGCCAAAAACTTCTGGTCCAAACCCAAATGGTCAAACCCCCGAATTGTCAGAATGGTCAAGCTTTTTGTAGCACCAAACTGGTCAACCCCCAAAGACGATGAAGTGACTGGTCCGCCCCTCCCCCCGCGTTTAACCCCCCCCCCCCCCGCGTTTTTTCTGTTTGGGAACCAGCGCCATTGGGAGCTAGGTGGGACCATTGGAGACCTTCAGCTTTGTCCATCAGCCCCTGGGCATGGGGCCCCGGCGCGAAAAAGCAAAGCGACAGCGCCGCTTCCTCAAAACCCGGTTCGATTGGCTTTAGTCTCACAAAGATCCGAAGTTTTGGGACAGAGCCGCTTTCTCCCCCTCCCCCCTTGAAGACTGGCGAATGCTCACCCCAAAATTCTACAGGGGTCCGAATATATTTCCCTTTTTGCCGGGTGTTAAAACATCACCTTGTTAGCCCCTTTTCAGGTGCGTTTCCCTCGGTGGGGGGATGTTTTAAGGAGGAAATGTATAGAGAGAGCCCGAGAATTTGGAGGCCCAGGATGGACATGATCCACCATGCTTCACCTCTACGACTTTATCACCTTCAAGTGCAGTAGGTGGCGTACCCTTCCTCGCAACAGAAGGCATCTGGAGGGTACCTGAAAGATTGTTTTCCTCTTCAATGGGCAATCTGCTCTGTCAGGTGCCATGTTAGTTCGGGGGAGGGAAGATGGAGGTTAGCAAGGGCGAATCCCGACCATAAATAGGCGGCTCTGGGTAGGCCATCTTAAAGCCAGGTTTGATTATGACTCACCTGTCAGCGGAACGGGAAAATGAGTTTCTCCAGATTGATATGATTTAACATGAAACCCACAAACCCTTTGAGGAATCTTCGTTTGGGCATCTTCACTGTGAATCCACAGCGGATTTAGAGTATGTTCAAGTTGCTTGCAAAGAGCAACACGCAGCGTATATATTATGTGTTTGCTCTTGAAATGCATCTAACTAGCTGACCTTAGCACGAGGCATGTTCAGGCAATTGCCCGCTTTTGGTTTGACTCTTAACGTAAGCGATCGAGGTAAACTGCAATGCGTGCTGCCACTTTTCCAAGATTTGATTCCCCATTCTCTCCACCCTTCCTTCTCTTTAGAAACCACCAATGTTCCAGGGTTTGGCCCATTTTTTGAAGAGAAGGATCTCCGAAGAGTATGGGGAGGGTACAGCTGCCACTTTGCATCAACCTGTGGATTTGGGACGCCTTCTCGAGGTCTCAGCGGTCGAGTTGGTTTTCAGGACATCGAGCAGGGGAATGCCAAAGAGTTCACTCCCGGTCTCTCCCGTAAAGGACGTAGATGTGGCGTTGTGCGAGCTTGTCCATCTACAACTTGGACTCTTCCAAAGAGTTTCCTTCGCACTTAGTGAACAGGACGGTTCTGGGTCACTGATCTGGGGGTACCTTCCATGTCCATTCTGAACCCAGGGACCCGGATCTTTCAAGAAACCCCCGGAATCGGGAAAACGGCTCCGGTTTTTTGAGAAATGGGCGTGGCTCGAAATTTTAGAAACAGGAGGGGCAAACCGGTTTTGGTCCATGTTTCCACTTACCGATCGGGCAACCCATTTTGGAATTCCGGTTTTTTGAATTCGCCACAGCCAAATGGAAAAGGAAGATTAAGCCCTGGAGCTGGCGCTCCAGGCCTCCTCTTGGACACCGCCACCGCGGCCCTGCGCCACGCCTTCGCGGCCGCGGAGAGTCCAGCCAGCCTGCTGGACGAGGCACGGGAGGTCTGCTTTGGAGCGAAGGCTGGGTTTTGAGCTTAGGCCCCCCAGCAACTGGCGCCGTTTCTCACCCAACTTTTTGGGGGAGGCGGCTGGGGTTCCTGTTTGGCCCCCCAGCAATTGCTGCCCTTTCTCACCCAACTTCTTCTTTTTTGGTTGGGAGGGTTCCCCGATTAAAAGAGACTACAGAGGAAAAATCGGGTACCCTTGTTCTATCCTCTCTACTGTTTTTTCTCTTTCCACCAAAAAAGCGGGGGTACTCCCAAGAAAGACGAGCGAGCCACCCAGTTTGACGCAACAAGCCCCTTTTTACACTTCTTGCCTTTGTTTGGGACAAACTTGTCTGGTTTTCCATCATGTTGTCTTTCAACTAGCAAACCATCATACTATTTAAGAACGTGTCAAAGTCCAAGTTTGGCTTTGGTATTTGGGGAAAGAAAGCTTGGTAGTCCCTGGGATGTTTTCACCTTTAACTTTCACCTTTAACTTGTTCCTTGAGCATGACGGGGGAGGAGGTTTGGGGTGCTGTTTGAGGCGCTGGTGACGGTATGGGGGCGCTTTTTGCAAAATTGACGGCAGGGTGCTTTGGGGCTGCTGCTTGTGGTGCTGGTTGGGGGGTGCTGTTAGAGGTGCTGGCGTGCAATTCTCGGCCTGTTTTTTCGCTATCTGGGGTCTGTGCTGGTGTAGTGTTTTTTCTATGTGCATTTTGTTGGAGATTATGATCCCTAAAGGTGGGGCAAGAGGGGTTTTGTGTTCACGCCCTGATTCTAGATTCCGGGCCAGTGAGTGAGTTCATATGGTGCTCGGATTGAGCATGCAAGTCATGCATTGTGTTTTTTCAAGACAAACGAGCGATACACCTTTGAGTTCCTTCCTGTTAGTTGAAACTTAGGTCCCATTGTAGACGTCCACATACGTCCCTGTTCGGATGGACCAATCATTGCAGTTTCATGGCGATTCAACGGCTTCTTCAAGTCAATTGTTGCAATGTTTGGATGGGTGGATTGCGCTTGCCTCCCTTCTTTTAGAGATGGGACACCCAAACCTAGCCATTCAACACCTTCTCAGTTGTCCAAAGCCGACCGTTTGACCTTGCGTTTTTCCTATTTTGGCGCCCACTTTTAGTCATGGCCCCAGATGGTGATCACCTTTTATTTCTGGGTCCTGTGGGCAAGCAAGTTTGGTTGCTTCAAAGGGTTCTGCATAAAATCCACCAATCATCCCGTTTGCGATGGCCCTTCGCCATCTACAATCACCCAACTGACTTTCTGAGTTCCCGGACTTTCACTTTTTGGTTGTCCTTCTGACATTGAGCACACCCACCAAAAAAAGGGGGGGGGTCCGTTAACACCACCCCAAGAAAAACCGGGCGCCTCCCCTCCAAAAAACACGCCGGGCCCCCCGCCCGCGCCGCGCGTCGAGGCGGTGAGCCTGGAGCGGCAGCTCTCGGAGCTGCACTTGGCGCACAGCAAGGCCCGCTCGCCTCGAGGTCTCGCCCCCGCTCCGAAGGTCCGAAGGGCGGAGAGGTGGGGAGGGCTCGCGGCCCTGAGGGTTCTATTTTTTTATTATTTTTCATCATTTTTTTTGGTTGGGGGGGGAGAAGGGGGGGAGAAGGGTTGGTTGGTTGGTTGTTCTTTGGGCCCCCAAGAACATGGTTGGTGTCCCTTTGGTTTTCTTGTTGAGCTGCCGAGCCATGCCTCTTTAAAGACCAAACAGTGGCGATCGATTCAAGGGACCCCACCAGTAAATGCATCGAACCCTGGATTCCGAAGCTCGGATGGCGAGTTGAATGGTTGCACGTGTGAAGCAAAATATGCCACGAATCCTGAGTTCTTGGACTAAATGGCCACTTTCCGGGTTTGGTTGAGGGTAAACAACAAAGTTGACACTTTGTGGCCAACCCACTCCGGAAGTAAGAAATTACATTTAGTTGAAGATGGTTGCACTTGTAGATAAGCTCGGAACAACTGTTACACTAAATCAGTTAAAAGCTGGCGAATTCATGGTGGCAACACCAACTCCACAATGTTTGGAAGAAAATATCTCCAGCAGTGTAACTATCCATCAATGGCTCACCAATCAAAGTTCATACCCAGATGCGGCTGTCGTTTCTAACATGGGGTTCCACTACCCCCAAACCATTTTCCAGGGGATTATTTTGTTTTATGCAGCCACTAGACACTGTACGGGGGATACATAGAACCGGTCGCAAGCGGGCAAGCAACGTGACGCGCCTTCCTCTTGCGTTCTTTTCTCTGAGACGAGGGTTGCACTAGACCCTATAGACCTCAGCCGATCGGGGAGCCTTTCTGGGAAGGCTGGTTGCAGCCCAGGGCTGGAGATATTTCTTGGAGCACTGCGTACCTTGAAGCTGACTTGAGACATCAAAACGGTAGGCTGAGGGACACATGCCAGATTTTTTTCGCGGAGATCTGCTCTTTTGACTCTTGACCATGGGCTTATACCGTTTCATGGTTTTAGATGATACAAGGGGCTGAATAGTTGCTGGCATGATTTGCCCATGGTCATGACTTCATCTAGTTGTATGGTACCCCAAACTCCCATTCTAATTGTTCAGACAGACCCTTATGTTACGCCATGTGGCTATGATTGTCATTTCTGAGGAATCTCCAAGAAGGGAAATGCGCCTGTCTTCTTGCGAGGGTTCCTTTTTTGTAGTTTTAAAGGGAACCATAAAGGACCACAGCTGTTTTTGGGGGTTCAACCTTTAAAAAAAGACACCCTTTTTGATATTGATCCCTTTTACTGGGGAACCTTCGGACCGAGTTTGCACCTTCCAGCTGGACATGTTCCTCCGAAACGCGGGACCCGTTCCAAATTCCGAATTCCTCCGAGCCAAGCGTTCGAGGAGCCCCTCTTCTTTTGGCACGGCCCAAAGTGGCTGATCAAGTCCAAGCCAGCGGCCCAAAGGATGGATGCGGCGATTCGGAGCCCCGGAGGCGTTTCGCCCCAAATCGGAGATCTTCGGACGTGCGTCGGACGTCCGGTTTCGGCAGAGAGCGTTTTGTCTCGGTCCAAGGTGTTTTCTGTTTTTTCTTCTCCGGGGGCCCCGGGGTTTTGACGGCGGAGCTTCGCGTTGCCATTGTTTCTGGGTTGCCAGCCACGTTTTTGCACAGTCTTTGCCACTGGGTTGCGCTCCTCGCGTTCCCAGACTTCAGCCACTTTTTCGCGTTTGGGCCACTTTTGTGGTCAAACAACAGTGCAGACTTCTCTTTTTCTGGCTTTCGGCCGATCCACGAGCGATGGGACGGGAGGTTTCTTGGCTCCGTGCATCGAGGCTCCAGCACCTCTTGGGCACGGGCCCCTGGCACACGAAGCTGAAGGCCGGAGACGACTCAGAAGCAACCAGTACAACGTACGAGTCAATAGCCACGTGTGTGTGTGTGTGTGTGTGTGTGGTTCGTCGTTTTTTGGAGTTGGTACTTGGGTTTTTGGTGGTTTTCAAAGGGACTCCCAAGAGGAAGACAATGCCATCTTGGGGCTCTCCAAAAAAAGGACTCTCCCACATTGAGTGAAGTTAATGAATCCTAGACGGGTTGATTTGCTTGGGATTAATGGTAGGGTAAATCCTACTTTGCGGACTTAACCGTGGTTATCAACCATCTTCCAAGCGGGCGGGTTATTGGTATCGTGTGGCAAACCTGAGCCACAATCAAAACCTGGGTAGATGAAGGTTAGCAAGGGATGCTCCCAGCCATACACAGCTGCGGATATCCGCCTTCTCAATTCTTGTCATGGTTCTGGGTAAACCATTTGGCTGTGGCTCAAAACATGTGCCAAAATGGCACGTTGGTAGATGGAACCAAAGACCCAAACCTGCGAAACCCCAGCTCCTTAATTTTGAGCCACAGCCATTTTAATCCCGGAGTTCGATTCCGACTCACCTGAGGTTTCAACAGGATTCGTTTCGTGCCATTGATTTCCAGCCCTCGAGCCTTAGCTGGTCGATGCTAGGTGTGGCTCAAAATTTTGAGCAGGGGGGCAAGCCGCAGGTCTTGGCACCCATGTTTCCACTTACCGATCGGGCAACCCAGTTTGGAATTCAGGTTTTTTGAATTCGCCACAGCCAGATGCTCGTGGGAAATTCTGGTTGAGTGCACGTGTCAAGGCCTTTCTTTTTGCTGAGCTTGGTTTCTTCAGGGAAACCGGTGCCGCATAGTCAGCAGCGGCTTTTTCGTCCCAAAAAAGGACACCACCAGAAAACGGTCCCAGCCTTAAGTTTTGCTCTATTTCCCCGGAGCCCCCGAAAAAAAAAAGCCGCCCGTCATCTTTTTCTCTACGAATCCCTGGCCAGGAGCTCGCTTCTCAGCCAGCACCAGTGGCGGAGTTGGTGGGCAAGGAGCGAAGTTGGGCAGTTTCGACGTGGCTCCTAGGCATCCGGTTCCTTCGCTTTTCAGATCCTGTTAGTTGGGTTAGCGGTGTCCAAATTCCCACTATAAAAGGTGCCTTCGCTTTTCAGAGCGTGTTAGTTGGGTTTAGCGGTTTCCAAAGTCCCACCAGAAAAGGTTCCTTCGCTTTTCAGAGCGTGTTAGTTGGGTTTAGCGGTGTCCAAATTCCCACTATAAAAGGTGCCTTCGCTTTTCAGAGCGTGTTAGTTGGGTTTAGCGGTTTCCAAAGTCCTACTAGAAAAGGTTCCTTCGCTTTTCAGAGCGTGTTAGTTGGGTTTAGCGGTTTCCAAAGTCCCACTAGAAAAGGTTCCTTCGCTTTTCAGATCCTGTTAGTTGGGTTAGCGGTGTCCAAATTCCCACTATAAAAGGGTGCCTTCGCTTTTCAGAGCGTGTTAGTTGGGTTTAGCGGTGTCCAAATTCCCACTATAAGTCCCACCAGAAAAGGTTCCTTCGCTTTTCAGATCCTGTTAGTTGGGTTTAGCGGTGTCCAAATTCCCACTATAAAAGGTGCCTTCGCTTTTCAGAGCGTGTTAGTTGGGTTTAGCGGTTTCCAAAGTCCACAGAAAAGGTTCCTTCGCTTTTCAGAAAGCGGTTTCCAAAGTCCCACTAGAAAAGGTTCCTTCGCTTTTCAGAGCGTGTTAGTTGGGTTTAGCGGTTTCCAAAGTCCCACTAGAAAAGGTTCCTTCGCTTTTCAGAGCGTGTTAGTTGGGTTTAGCGGTTTCTAAAGTCCCACTAGAAAAGGTTCCTTCGCTTTTCAGATCCTGTTAGTTGGGTTAGCGGTGTCCAAATTCCCACTATAAAAGGTGCCTTCGCTTTTCAGAGCGTGTTAGTTGGGTTTAGCGGTTTCCAAAGTCCCAATAGAAAAGGTTCCTTCGCTTTTCAGATCCTGTTAGTTGGGTTAGCGGTGTCCAAATTCCCACTATAAAAGGTGCCTTCGCTTTTCAGAGCGTGTTAGTTGGGTTTAGCGGTTTCCAAAGTCCCACTAGAAAAGGTTCCTTCGCTTTTCAGAGCGTGTTAGTTGGGTTTAGCGGTTTCCAAAGTCCCACTAGAAAAGGTTCCTTCGCTTTTCAGATCCTGTTAGTTGGGTTAGCGGTGTCCAAATTCCCACTATAAAAGGTGCCTTCGCTTTTCAGAGCGTGTTAGTTGGGTTTAGCGGTTTCCAAAGTCCCACTAGAAAAGGTTCCTCGCTTTTCAGAGCGTGTTAGTTGGGTTTAGCGGTTTCCAGAGTCCCACTATAAAAGGTTCCTTCGCTTTTCAGAGCGTGTTAGTTGGGTTTAGCGGTTTCCAAAGTCCCACTAGAAAAGGTTTCTTCGCTTTTCAGATTCTGTTAGTTGAGTTAGCGGTTTCCAAATTCCCACTATAAAAGGTGCCTTCGCTTTTCAGAGCGTGTTAGTTCGGTTTAGCGGTTTCCAAAGTCCCACTATAAAAGGTGCCTTCGCTTTTCAGGGCGTGTTAGTTGGGTTTAGCGGTTTCCAAAGTCCCACTAAAAAAGGTTCCTTCGCTTTTCAGAGCGTGTTAGTTGGGTTTAGCGGTTTCCAAAGTCCCACTAGAAAAGGTTCCTTCGCTTTTCAGATCCTGTTAGTTGAGTTTAGCGGTTTCCAAATTCCCACTATAAAAGGTGCCTTCGCTTTTCAGAGCGTGTTAGTTGGGTTTAGCGGTTTCCAAAGTCCCACTATAAAAGGTTCCTTCGCTTTTCAGATCCTGTTAGTTGGGTTTAGCGGTTTCCAAAGTCCCACTATAAAAGGTTCCTTCGCTTTTCAGAGCGTGTTAGTTGGGTTTAGCGGTTTCCAAAGTCCCACTATAAAAGGTTCCTTCGCTTTTCAGAGCGTGTTAGTTGGGTTTAGCGGTTTCCAAAGTCCCACTATAAAAGGTTCCTTCGCTTTTCAGAGCGTGTTAGTTGGGTTTATCGGTTTCCAAAGTCCAACTAGAAAAGGTTCCTTCGCTTTTCAGATCCTGTTAGTTGGGTTAGCGGTGTCCAAATTCCCACTAGAAAAGGTTCCTTCGCTTTTCAGAGCGTGTTAGTTGGGTTTAGAGGTGTCCGAATTCCCACTAGAAAAGGTTCCTTCGCTTTTCAGAGCGTGTTAGTTGGGTTTAGCGGTTTCCAAATTCCCACTATAACAGGTTCCTTGGCTTTTCAGAGCGTGTTAGCTGGGTTTAGCGGTTTCCAAAGTCCCACTATAAAAGGTTCCTTCGCTTTTCAGAGCGTGTTAGTTGGGTTTAGCGGTTTCCAAAGTCCCACTATAAAAGGTTCCTTCGCTTTTCAGAGCGTGTTAGTTGGGTTTAGCGGTTTCCAAAGTCCCACTATAAAAGGTTCCTTCGCTTTTCAGAGCGTGTTAGTTGGGTTTATCGGTTTCCAAAGTCCAACTAGAAAAGGTTCCTTCGCTTTTCAGATCCTGTTAGTTGGGTTAGCGGTGTCCAAATTCCCACTATAAAAGGTTCCTTCGCTTTTCAGAGCGTGTTAGTTGGGTTTAGAGGTGTCCGAATTCCCACTAGAAAAGGTTCCTTCGCTTTTCAGAGCGTGTTAGTTGGGTTTAGCGGTTTCCAAATTCCCACTATAACAGGTTCCTTGGCTTTTCAGAGCGTGTTAGCTGGGTTTAGCGGTTTCCAAAGTCCCACTTTAAAAGGTACCTTCGCTTTTCAAAGCGTGTTAGTTGGGTTTAGCAGTTTCCAAACGGGTGGTTTTCCATTTCGTTTCCCTGCTGAAACGGGGGGTACCAGCTACAACAAAATCTGACTCATGCGCAGGCTTCCGGCCTTCACCGGGACCCCCGAGGCGGTTCCAAGCGGTTGACATTGACACGAAGCTTTGAAGCAGAAACTGGTCCTTGGTTTGACGTGCCTCAAGCGCCTAAAATCGTTCGAATGGGTTGGGACGCTCGTTTCCTGTTGGTATCCCTTTTCGCGCCACCCCGAAATCCATCAAACGCGACCCTCAAAGCGGGTCAAGCAAAATGGTCTGA